AAGGGCCAATTCCCAACTCGCAGTGAATGCTATAATCAATCCAGACGCAGCAGATGCAACGTTTTGAACAGCTAGAGACAATGCATCTCCAACTAGAGCCCTAATCAAAGCTGCATCAGCAGATAGCCTTGCACCCATCGTTCCACTCGAGTTCTGTGGCTCATCGAACCACCCAACTTCCATGTGACCGCTTTCTCAAAGCACATTGATCGAATTCGTCTAATCAGTTTTCCGCCAGCTACTGCAAACAGATACATTTGACTCGGTGAGACGATCAGCGAAGTTACTCCAAGAGCTACAAATATAATCGCCCAGAATCTTGAATCTTTCTTTAGTTGGTCAGCTGGTTTGAAGAACGCTTCGATGACTCTTGAAATCAGAATCCCAAAAAGCGGGAAAATAGCGCCATTGATTGCTGCTGCTACAGTTCCTAGAAGGAGAACCGGGATCTCAGGTTTGTTAAGAGCAGCGATTCGGGTGAGTGATACTTTCGGGAGCGGTTCTTGACTAGTCGTTCCAGTTTCCTCTTGGCCTACTCGTTGGCTACCGTTACTGAGGTCTAGTCCTGCAGATAAACCAAGAACATTCAAAGAATGATGACGGCTGCTATTCCCAGCCGACGAGGTTCCGCCACTGATAACCGATCCCTCTATTGATTTCTTCAAACTCGGGTTCCGGAAAGATGATCCCGCAGATATGTCTGATGGTTTGACATCATTACCCTTGTTTATCTCTTGTAACCGAATGAGCTGCGAATAAGCTCCCTCAGAATCTTTCAACAACTCAGAATGTGAACCTTTTTCCACCATTTTTCCACGGTGAATTACCGCAATCATATCCGCATTTCTGACAGTACTTAACCGATGAGCGACTATAACAGTAGTTCGGTTAACCATCACTCTATCTAAAGCCTCTTGAACAACTCTTTCGGATTCAGCATCGAGCGCGCTTGTTGCTTCATCCAGCAGCAAAATCCGCGGATCTTTAAGAATAGCTCTCGCAATCGCTATCCTCTGTTTCTGTCCTCCCGAGAGCTGTGTCCCATGTTCTCCTACCATTGTATCCAACCCCTGAGGCAACTTATCTATAAACTTCGCGGCATTTGCTAGTTCTGTCGCAGCTTTAATCTCTTCAACCGTTGCATTTTCTTTCCCGTAGGCGATATTCTCCATGATGCTCGACGAAAACAGAACAGGTTCTTGACTGACCAATCCAATTTTGCTTCTGATCCATTTCAACTGGAATTCCTTAAGATTAACTCCATCAATGAGTATTTCGCCGGCTTTCGGATCATAAAACCTCTCAATCAAACTGATCACTGTAGATTTTCCACTTCCACTTTCTCCTACTAACGCTGCTGTTGCACCGCTCGGGATAAACAGAGAGAATCCATCAAATATATCCTCGTCTGGCCTCGCGGGGTAACTGAAATGCACATCTTTAAGTTCAATGTCTCCTCGAATATCTTCAAGAACCTTTCCATTAACGTCATAAGCATCAATCAAAGGCTTTCTTTTTATCGTCTCAAACATCTTATATGCTGCAGCTTGACCCGCTGCAAATGCGGTTACACATGGAGATGTTTGCCCAAGCGACCTAAACAAGAAAAAAATAGAACATAACTGTTAGGAATCCGAATCTCACATCATACATATATATAAAGGTGATTGTCAAGGCTTTTACTTACATTGAACCCGCAACCACAATGATGATCACGTTGATCACAGCGCCACCGGTATACCCTTTTTCGAGTATCATCTTCCCACCAAACCAGATAGCCAAAGCATAGCTGCTGAAAAACACGAAGAACATTACTCCTAGTCCTAAACCGGTGGAGAAACCTTGTTGAATGCTTGATTTATACGCCGATGTTATGAACTTCTTGTAGCTGTTTATTGCTTGCTTCTCTCCCGTAAAAGAAGCAACCTTCAAACCAAAACAAAACAAATATTCAAGTAGCAAATATCAGTTAAAGATTGTTTTGTAGCTTAGAAAGATTTGAGGTTTACCGTTCGGATAGATCCGATAGTCTGTTCAACAACAGTTGCTGCTTTTGCATAAGCAGCTTGTCCCCGAGAAGAAGCTCGAGTGACTATAATCGCCATGGCTGCGCCAGCCATAGCCAGAAGCGGGATCGAAGTTAACATAACCAATGTTAGTAACCATCCTTTAATGAAAGCTAAAACAAATCCGCCGACGAAAGTAGATACCAGCTGAATAAACTTCCCAACCTGCAAGATTCGAGAAAAGTAACAAACTTCAAAAACGAATCCAATCATTATATATAAGCTTGTATATCCATTGCATTACCTTTTCACCCATGGCATCTTGAATAAGAACAGTATCTCCAGACATTCTACCAACAACCTCTCCAGTGTTTGTTTCCAAATCGAAGAATCCAATGTCTTGTCTCAGAATTGTTTTCAGATACGTACTTCTTATCCTCGCGGCTTGTCTCTCTCCCGTAATCATCCAACAAGCCACCTCTACAATAACAAGAGCACCAAAACTCTATCATTCTCTAAACCTTATGTAAAATGCGATGAAGAAACCTAAAAGGAAACTTCTATGAAGAAATCAATAAAACTGCAAACTTACGAAGAAAGGCTGCTCCAAGTGTTCCAAGTCCAAGGTAGACAAATTTAAGACAAACCTATAAGAAGACACATTATTAAGTAAAATGAGATCACCAAACAGCAATGTCAAACACCTAATTAGTAAAGTTTTGATATTTACCTTTGAGACAACATCAACAATGTCTTTATTGTTCTGATTTTTCCCAAAGGAATCTATGAGATCACCAAACAACAATGTCATAAGAGGTAAACACACACCATTCCCAATAGCTCCGATTGAGCCACATATCATCAAGAGCACATCAAAGGAATCTGCAAACGCAAATAGCTTGTAGAAAGGAACTGTCTTCGCCTTTTCATCGTTTTTTTCCTCTTTCTTAGTCTCTACTTCTTCTTCTTTAGGACTTTTAGATGTTGATGGTTCGTGTGAAACAGAGTCGCCTTCTCCGGCGCCGTCACGGTTCATTTTCCGGCGCTGACAGAAATCAAAGAGTTTCTAAGAAATCTGATAATACCCAGATCGAAATCGAAGGAATATAATGATAAAGACTACAATAGAGTTACAAGCTTTCTTCTTCAGATTTTGAAAAAGTAAGCTTTTGAACTTTCTCCTAAAACCCAGAGAAAATTAAAGAATATAAGGAAACAGTTCTTTTTTGAGAAATCTTAGAGTTTGCTAATATAAATCCAAAACAACCCCACTAGTGATTTCTGAAAAAGATTTGTCCTTTATTGTGAATTTCAATGAGTTCCCAAAAATAATCACCAATGAAACAGAGTCTGTTAAGAGAAAAACCGTCACATGCTTTTTGCTTACCCGTAAAATCAGAGATCTAATTAAAACCCTAAACCCAATCAAAAATCTGAAATCAAAAAGGAAAGAAGTTTAAAAGAGAACAGACCTGAAAGATGTGGCGAGAAGCTGTGGAAAGCGAAAAGAATTGCAACTTTCGGGGAATAAGACAGACGTGTGCGAAGCTGTTGTTGTTGTCTTGAACTTGTTAATCTAATCTTTGTTTAATTTTTAATGTATTCAACTTTTTAGAGTCAAATTTGTTTCTGCAGAAAAATATGAGAATTTTGCCTTTTTATATGCAACTCTTGTTTCTTGGGTTGTGCGATAATTGCTTGAGAAGCAAGGAGAGTGGGAATAAACTATTGTCATGGTCAAAAAGCATAATAATTATATATTTTGAAGTGTTTACTAAAATATCATATATATTCTTCTTCTATAGACCCAATTCCAATTTCCAAAACTAAGTATGCCTTTCTAACAACACAAAAAAAGAAAAGGAAAGAGAAATTTTCTAAATTTTCATGTTTTAATTTTCTCTTCACTTAGTACTTTTGTACATGAAATGTTAGGTAAGAATCCCATAAAACTTACCAGACACAACTGCGTGGTTGGTTTTACTTTTTCCAAACAATGAACATGATATAATTTCAAAAATATCATATTGTGGAAATACCAACGAATTAATGTTTCGTGTATTAATATGATTTTTAAAATTTTAGTTTGAATAAACCAATTCAAATTTAGTAGTTTGACCTAGTTATCATTCATGTGTAATCACTTGAATTCAAATACATGCATATTGCATGTTACTAACAAACAAAAACATTTTTTTTTTAACCAAAGTAATCTTGATATTTCAAGATTAAACTATAATCTGGTTTTCAAAATTATTGTATGACTATTAATACAGAAGACCATGATCAAACTCTCTAACAAGGAATCCCTTGAATTTTGAATTATCTTGTCCGATTTTTATAAGGGTGTGCAAATATTAAATGGTAGATGTGGACAATTCCGTAGAGAATTTTCATTTTACGGGAAGTTGACTAACTTGCTTGGCAACTAAGCAAAAAAGTCAACTTAATATATTGTAGTAAAACATATTTCCCCTTGAGAGTTAAGACATCCATTTTTCTTGGCCGCTAAGGCTATTGACAAAACTCACACTCATCCCTACTTATATGTTAGTAGTATTTAACTATCTATGTTCAAGCTTAAATGAGATTTATACAACAATGAACTTGATCATAATCATTCGACCCGTTTATGTTGTCTTCTGTTATAAGAAAAACATGATGGTCCAATTATAAAATATAAGTGATAATAATGTTCAAAGGTGCCAAAACGTCATTATTTAAAAGTCAATTTTGTGCTAACTACTCCTTATAAGACAAGAACAAATACACTGTCAAGTACCAACTAATTATAATTTGGAAATGTTTACATGCACTTGTAAATAGTAAGAAAGAAACAAAAAAAAAAGTAAGTAAAGAAAACTACTAATTGAATTAATTAAAATGATAATCGAAAAAAAAATGTTTTAAGTATTGATAAATCTCCATATCTTGAAAACAACTGAGAACAAAGAAAAAACGTCACTGCTATTCACCAAAAAAAAAAAAAAAAAACGTCACTGCTTGCGTCATTAGAGAAACACATCATACATGACTGACTTCATTACATGAGAATATTTTTACCATCTTGAAATAAACACTAAATTTTATAATAAGTAAAAAATAATTAGTAATTTCGAAGTATTATATCCGTTGTAGTAGTAGTCATGGGGGCCACTTAGCGTCTCGCAATTCCCAATTCCCCGCGAGATCTTGTTGTGTACGGTACGGGAGATACCATTTGCATTAATTGTCTGTTTCAGCTTAATACGCAGCGTTTTGTACACATATTTTATTTGTCCATGATCCCTATGGACCCTAATCTAATACAAAGCTCTGATTTGGACTTTCACATTTTTATCATTTATATTGGGCCATTGATGGGCCTTATTAATCACCTGTTTTACTTCCCTCCCTATTCTCTCGATAAATTTCTTAACCAAACAAAACCCAAAACCCGGAAGATAGATAGAAAAGCAACGTAAAGATCATGAACTTCAAAAATCTCACTCGTCAAAAAAGCAAAAACTGATAATCTCGTCAGAAGCTACCAAGAAGAAGAATAAGAAGAAGAAGAGCGTTTTATAAATGGAAGAAGAGACCCTTCTCAATGAGAACCTTCTCCCTCCCCAGGATTCCTCACCGGAAGAAACTCAAGTCACCGCCGTCACCACCGTATCAAAATCGAAATGGACCATTCTTGTACTAGCGATGATCCTCCTCTTGATCTACTTAACCTTCGGGGTTTTCACTTACTCATTCTTTCGAGACCAGTTCTCCGGAACCGAGACCAATCTTTTCGTCGACGCTTTCTATTTCTCCATCGTCACATTCTGTACAGTCGGTTACGGCGACATTGTCCCGTCAACTTCAACGACCAAGATCTTGACCATTGTCTTGGTATCAACCGGCGTCGTATTTCTCGATTATCTACTCAACAGCGTCGTGAGTCACGTTCTAAGTCTTCAAGAAAACGCGATTCTTGATCGAATCAACAAGACAAGAAACAGAGCGATTAGAGATCACATTGCCGAAGATGGGAAGATAAGGTTAAAGTGGAAACTTTGTTTAGCGTTTTGCGCCGTTGGTCTCTGCGTCGGAAGTGGAGCTTTGTTTCTTCACGTTTTCGAGCGACTGGATTGGTTAGATTCGGTTTACTTGTCGATTATTTCGGTTACGACGGTTGGTTACGGAGATAAAACGTTTAAGACACTTGAAGGGAGAGGTTTCGCAGTGTTATGGCTTCTTCTTTCAACTATTGCAATGGCTACTTTGTTTCTTTACTTGGCTGAGATGAGAATCGATCGTACTACTGTCATGAAATTGCCCACGAGGTAAAAGATCTGCAAGTTCTGTTTCTTTCATTCGAAATTCTGTTTTTGGTTACTGATTGAGTTTTTTTTTGTTGGTTGTGATTAGTGAATCAGAGTTTATTGTGTTCAAGCTTAGAGAAAGTGGAAAGATTAGTGAGGATGATATAAAGCAGATCGTAAGAGAGTTCGAGAATCTTGAAAAAGTACCATCAAGCGGGTCGTGACAATTTGCCAAAGATCACATTGCCCTAACTCTAGCCTGGTAATTAGATATGAAATTGCAGAGCTGTACATGGTTAGCTTTTCTTTTTGAATTTTAGTAGAAAAATGTATAGAAGAATCATGACAATGATGATGATGCTACTCTGTTTTGACCTCTTGCGACTTGAAAAGGAAGAAAATACACTGGTATAATTTAGTCGTTGCCAAATGTTTTTTTTTTTTCTATTTACTACTTGTGTGCATCTTTTGGCAGTAGTAGTTCATGATGATAAAACGATATGATTACAAATTAATTATTTCATGACACATAGTTTATATTAATTTTTCATGGATAATTATATAAGAACAACATGAAACTTACTACAACCCATGTAAAAGTCGCCATAAAAAAACAAACACCCAATTGAAATAGCTCAAGTACAATGATACATAACCACATTAAAAAACAAAAACAGAGAAATAAAAACGTGAGAAGATAATTGGTTTGCGGAAGGAAGATAGAAACAGAGTAGGTAAAATTTAAGCTTGAGGTTTGTCCCACTTGAGTGGCTTGACGACTTCCCAGGTGAAGTCAGGGTCGTCCCTTCCGAAGTGTCCGTACGCCGCAGTTTTCAAGAACCTTCCGTTTCCTCCTCTCTTTAGGTCAAGGTTAATTGTCATCATTCCTGGTCTGAAGTCGAAGCTCTCCTTCACAATCTTTAGTATCTCCTTGTCTGGAATCAAACCAGTCTCGTAAGTGTCCACAAAGACAGACAATGGCTCAGGGACTCCAATGGCGTATGAGACCTGAACAAGAGCCCTACGAGCCATCCCGTTAGCCACAACGCTCTTAGCTGCTTGTCTCACAATGTAGGCTCCGCTTCTGTCGACCTTGGTTGGGTCTTTGCCAGAGAATGCACCGCCTCCGTGAGCTCCCCATCCACCGTAAGTGTCAATGATGATCTTACGCCCGGTGAGACCAGCATCTCCATGGGGTCCACCGATGACGAATCGGCCTGATGGGTTCAAGTGAAAGATGGTTTTCTCGTCTAGGTACTTCTCTGGGATGACCGGCTTGATGACATGCTCCTTAAGGTCACGGGCAATTTCGTCGTTGGTCACAGTTTCATCGTGTTGGGTGGAGATGAGGACTGTGTGGACACGGATTGGGACCATGGCACCCTTATCGTTGTAGTACTCAACAGTGACTTGGGTTTTGCCGTCGGGTCTTAGCCAAGCGCAAGTACCATTCTTTCTGACTTCTGTTAGGCGAGCACCGAGCTTGGTGGCAAGAACATGGCTCAGGGGCATTAACTCAGGGGTTTCATCAGTAGCGTAACCAAACATGTGGCCTTGGTCACCGGCTCCAATATCTTCAGGACATTTGGTGAAGTGACCATGAACTCCTTGAGCAATGTCTGGGCTCTGTTGCTCAATGTTGACTAAGACTTTGCACTTGTCAGCATCAAGACCAACATCATCAGAGACAAATCCAATGGCGCGACAGGTGTCACGGACAATCTTCTCGAGTCAACAGTAGCCTTGGTAGTGATCTCACCAAAGACCATGACCATGTTGGTCTTGGTGCAAGTCTCACAAGCAACTTTGCTGTCAGGGTCTTGTTCAAGGCAGGCATCGAGGACTGCATCAGAGATCTGGTCACAGAGCTTGTCTGGGTGTCCCTCGTTCACAGACTCGGATGTGAATAGGAAAGTCTCCATTTTGCTACAAAGAAATAGAATAACAAACTGACTAAGCCACTGTAGAATCATAAAAGAAGCATCATGCAAATCTACTTAAATCCCACACATCTGAGGAAAAATTTGAGAATCTAGAATGAAATCGTTGCAGATCCAATAACAAAAATAGTTTACGAGTATCATAAATCTAATTAAAAATCATATATACTCTCAAAGTATCATGGATTCATTCAACAATCACTAGTCCCTGAAATCTACTTCCATCGAACAAAAGTACTCAAAAACAGAAATGAACCATAGATCGAGAGAGAAACGAGAAGCGAAGATGAAGAACAATACCGGCGTCGAAGAGAGATTATGAGATTCGGCGATCAGATCTCGAAGAAGAGAAACTCAGATCTCTCTATCTCTGTCGCTCGAGACTTTGCTTTTAAAAGAACAAGTGTTAAAAGAGAAGGAACGGTTTGGGACGAGTAAGTGAGTCAGAACACGTTGGTTATTTATAGGCCTTTTACGGTTGGTTCACTAATGACTGGTCACCGGTTTATTTGGTTAAAGCACCCTACTTGGACTTATAAAGAAAATGAAACATATTGCTTTTTTAAGGCTTTGGCCTACCAATATTTACTATTTTTTGTCATTATTTTCAAAAAAAAATCTGACTCTTGGGACCAATTTGGTCCGACTTGTTATATATACCGTGAACCAATCGGATTTTTCATTTCAAAGAAAATTATTGTGTTTGTAATTGTCGAAAAAAAATACTAGAAAAATCAAATAAATACCATACGAAATTGTTGAACCGGGACGTTTACAAATCTAAAATCATACTATTAAACAATTAGTTTTTTTTATTTGGTTTGATACGAGTGAGATTAGAAAACGTTTTCAATGCAACTAAGAAACAAAGAATAGATAATAACTAAAAAAAGGCATTACTCATTAGTCATTTACTCACACACCTGAAAATGCACACACACAGTTTCATGCTTTACAAGGTTGTGGTAGGTGAGGATTTTAGACTTTTAATTGCGGTTGTTGGTGCTGACCAACAAAAATATCTTGGTTCTTGGTGAGATTAAATGGTGACCGTTGGATTATTTTGTTTAACGGCTGATTAATGCATGATATAGAGAGCTTTGGGGTTTGGTAAAGGATTTTGACATACCTCACCCACAATCATTTTATCTACCGTATCTTAATTTTATTCTTTAAAAATATGGATTAAAACATCCTTCATATTCTTCATATTTCATTTTTTTGTGGTGTATATTTTTTATAATTTTACATTTCACTTCAAAACCGAAAAAATGGTTTGTCGATTGAACCGTTGTCATAACTCATACGTTCGTTCATAATTAGTTAACGGGAGGTGTCGGTCACTTTGCAACCATCTTAAGAGTTGGTTACGTACTTACGTGTTTGTAGCCACTCCTCTTTTGGTAGTGGCGAGGTGGGTAATGTATTTCTAACTCATGGCTCATAATATTTTCCGATTACTTTTCCTAACATTTTTCTTATGAAAATTAAAGCTGATTAGTGATTGGAAAAAAAGAATTTTTTTTTGCTAAGTTTAGTTTTTATTACCAGTGCCAGCTTTTTTTTGGTGGTTAACGGGTCTCAACTCTCAACTTTAAGTAGTAATCGAGGGTAAAACTGTAAAAGAAGTTGGGCATTCGCAAAGAAAACTATTACTTTTTGTCAACGATTTATATGAAGAAAATTCGAAGGTTTGCAAAACCCATGTGGTTTGTCTGTGTTTGAATATTGTCTTGTATAGGCGGTTGAATATGTTCTTGTGGAGAGAAAAAAAAAAAATATAGTTAGGTTAAAGAGTTTTTGTTGTTTACTACTGATTCTGAGAGTAATTTTGTGCAAATTACTAGTCCTACTTTGGTTTTCAAGTTTAAAAAAGATGATTTACCTCTCTGTATTCGAAATGTCAATTGTCTGATGTCTTCTTACTCTGTTTCCGACTAACCAAACAGCATACATTTGTGATTACATGAACATAGATCAAGAGAAGAAGAGAACCAAACACAAACACTCTAAACAAGATGGGTTCTTCAAAACAGGGGCTAGACCACGAAATAAACACAATCTCGTATAAGATAATTCCAGAGATAGACAGGTTCTGCATTAGGAGGAACATAATTCCAGAGATAGACTATCTCAAATAGTAGAGGCTTCAAAGAAGGCAAAACTTGCTTCTTCTTCTTGTTCTCAAATCGGGTATTGATCCTGTTGGAGCCCAATATTGTAAAAAGGAAACAATCTAAAGTTTACAAAAAAAAAAGGAAATAACAAAACTCATCGAAAAAAGGAAACAATCGAAAGTTTCCTTTTTTTGGAAGAAGCTAATGCTTATAAATAAACGCCTGAGAGAATGCTAACCTCCAACATCACTCATTCTCTCTTCTTCCTTGAGACATCAAAATTCACTCTTTCTCTCTTCTCTTCTTCTTCGGAACCATAACAAAAGAATTCTTCCCTCTTTCATTATCTCTTCTCCGTAAGATTGATCTCGTTTCGTAATTGATCTCCATCCTCTGTTGTGACTCATATTCACTCAATCCAAACGATTTCAAATCCGGCCAACGACGGGCCACCGAAACGCTTTCACCGACGGCCAAGCAGAGCACCAAGACGGCCAAGGATGCGACAGCGGGAAAGAGGACAACGATGAGAGAGACAAAGCTAGAATGTGTTTTCATGGCTGTGATCATGAAAAAACGTCTCCTCAGGCTCAGGATGATCTCGATCGATTAGTCTCCCTTTCGTCGAACCAGGTTACCTCTTAATTTAACACTTTTTATTTTTCAATGTTTTTTTTTTAATGTTTTTTTTTGAATGTTTTTTTTTTATAAGTGTTACATTTTTTAATTTTGTGTAAACTAATTGGATACAACATCCAAACCCCTAAGAGGTGTTCTAGGTTCAATATGATTTACACATAATTAAAGTTTTAACACTTATTATTTTTTTTAAACGTTTTATTTTTTTTAATTTTTTTTATAAGTGTTAAAATTTTTAATTTTGTGTAAACTAATTGGATACATCATCCAAACCCCTAAGAGGTGTTCTAGGTTCAATATGATTTACACATAATTAAAGTTTTAACACTTATTATTTTTTTTAAACGTTTTATTTTTTTTTATTTTTTTTATAAGTGTTAAAATTTTTAATTTTGTGTACACTAATTGGATACATCATCCAAACCCCTAAGAGGTGTTCTAGGTTCAATATGGTTTACACATAATTAAATTTTTAACACTTGTTTTTTTTTAAAATGTTTTTTTTTTTTTTGTTTTTTTATAAGTGTTAAATTTTTTTATTTTATGTAAACTAATTGGATGTTAAATTTTTAACACTTGTTTTTTTAATGTTTTGTTTTGTTTTTAATAAGTGTTAAATTTTTTTAATTTTGTGTAAACTAATTGGATACAACATCCAAACCCCTAAGAGGTGTTCTAGGTTCAATATGGTTTACACATAATTAAATTTTTAACACTTGTTTTTTTTTAAAATGTTTTTTTTTTTTTTGTTTTTTTATAAGTGTTAAATTTTTTTATTTTATGTAAACTAATTGGATGTTAAATTTTTAACACTTGTTTTTTTAATGTTTTGTTTTGTTTTTAATAAGTGTTAAATTTATTAATTTTGTGTAAACTAATTGGATACAACATCCAAACCCCTAAGAGGTGTTTTAGGTTCAATATGATTTACACAAAATTAAATTTTTAACTCTCGTTTTTTAAAATTTTTTTTTTATAAGTGTTAAATTTTTTAATTTTGTGTAAACTAATTGGATACAACATCCAAACCCTTAAGAGGTGTTCTAGGTTCAATATGGTTTACACATAATTAAAGTTTTAACACTTATTATTTTTTTTAAACGTTTTATTTTTTTTTAATTTTTTTTATAAGTGTTAAAATTTTTAATTTTGTGTAAACTAATTGGATACATCATCCAAACCCCTAAGAGGTGTTCTAGGTTCAATATGGTTTACACATAACTAAAGTTTTAACACTTATTATTTTTTTTAAACGTTTTATTTTTTTTAATTTTTTTTATAAGTGTTAAAATTTTTAATTTTGTGTAAACTAATTGGATACATCATCCAAACCCCTAAGAGGTGTTCTAGGTTCAATATGGTTTACACATAATTAAATTTTTAACACTTGTTTTTTTTTAAAATGTTTTGTTTTTTTTTTTGTTTTTTTATAAGTGTTAAATTTTTAATTTTGTGTAAACTAATTGGATACAACATCCAAACCCCTAAGAGGTGTTCTAGGTTCAATATGGTTTACACATAATTAAAGTTTTAACACTTATTATTTTTTTTAAACGTTTTATTTTTTTTAATTTTTTTTATAAGTGTTAAAAATTTTAATTTTGTGTAAACTAATTGGATACATCATCCAAACCCCTAAGAGGTGTTCTATGTTCAATATGGTTTACACATAATTAAATTTTTAACACTTGTTTTTTTAAAAAATGTTTTGTTTTTTTTTTGTTTTTTTATAAGTGTTAAATTTTTTAATTTTATGTAAACTAATTGGATGTTAAATTTTTAACACTTGTTTTTTTAATGTTTTGTTTTGTTTTTAATAAGTGTTAAATTTTTTAATTTTGTGTAAACTAATTGGATACAACATCCAAGCCCCTAAGAGGTGTTCTAGGTTCAATATGGTTTACACATAATTAAATTTTTAACACTTGTTTTTTTTTTAAATGTTTTTTTTTTTTTTTTTGATAAGTGTTAAAATTTTTAATTTTATGTAAAGTAATTGGATACAACATCCAAACCCCTAAGAGGTGTTTTAGGTTCAATATGGTTTACATATAATTAAATCTTTATCACTTGTTTTTTTTTTTAAATGTTCTTTTTTCTTTTTTTATAAGTGTTAAATTTTTAATTATGTGTAAACTAATTGGATACAACGTCCAAAACCCAAAGAGGTGTTCTAGGTTCAATATGGTTTACTCGTAGTAATTAAATTTTTAACACTTGTTTTTTAAAAAATATTTTGGTTTTTTATAAGTGTTAAAATTATTAATTTTGTGTAAACTAATTGGCTACAACATCCAAATCCCTAAGAGGTATTCTATGTTATATATGGTTTACATAAAATTAAATTTTTAACACTTCTTTTTAAAAATGTTTTTTTATAAATATGAATTTTTTAAAATTTGTGTAAACTAATTGGATACATCATCCAAACCCCTAAGAGGTGTTCTAGGTTCAATATGGTTTACACAAAATTAAATTTTTAACACTTGTTTTTTTAAAAAAATTTTTTTATAAGTGATAAATTTTTTAATTTTGTGTAAACTAATTGGATACAACATCCAAACCCCTAAGAGGTGTTTTAGGTTCAATATGGTTTACATAAAATTAAATTTTTAACACTTATTTTCTTATAAATGTTTTGTTTTTTTATAAGTGTTAAATTTTTTAATTTTGTATAAATTAATTGGATACAACATCCAAACCCCTAAGAGATATTCTAAGTTCAATATGGTGTACACATAATTAAATTTGTAACGCTTGTTTTTATAATGTTTTTTTTTTGTTTTTAGTAAGTGTTAAATTTATTAATTTTGTGTAAACTAATTGGATACAACATCCAAACCCTAAGAGGTGTTTTAGGTTCAATATGATTTACACAAAATTAAATTTTTAACATTTGTTTTTTTTTGTTTTTTTATTTATAAGTATTAAATTTTTTTAATTTTGTGTAAACTAATTGGATACATCATCCAAATTCTTAAGAGATGTTCTAGGTTCAATATGGTTTACACAAAATTAAATTTTTAACACTTGTTTTTTAAAATGTTTTTTTTTATAAGTGTTAAATTTTTTAATTCTGTGTAAACTAATTTAGATACAACATCCAAACTCCTAAGAAATTTTCTAGGTTTATTATGATTTACACATAATTGAATTTTTAACACTTATATTTTTATTAAAAAAATTTTAAAAAAAGTTTTCAAATTTACATTTTTATATTACTATTAAAACGTTACGGATTTTATTTTTCAAATAATATTTTTGATAAATATTTTAAAGGGAGGCTTTTGCAAAAATGCCATTTTTTCAATGCCACTTTTCAAAAATACTCCTTTTTTAAAACCTTATAAAAAATGTTCTTAAAAGTATAAGATTTACCTAAATATGTATGTAATATTATTAAAACTACACAAAATATATTTCTATGTATCTAAAATCTTATAAATACTTTATAAATACCTTATAAATGCATTTTATATACCTTTAAAAACCTTTAAAATATCTTGTAAAACCTGTGAAAAACTTTAAAAATCCTTTAAAATAACTTGTAAAACCTTTAAAAACACCTTATAAAACCTTATAAATACTTGGATCAAGTCTTCAAGTAGTAATTACAATCAATAAGTACCTTATAAACCTAATAAAACTTTATAAAAATTTCAGATTTAAATAGAGACATTTTTTTAAATATCTAAAAGAAGCATTTTTGAAAAGGGGCACACCAAAAATGGTATTTTTAACAATTCTCCTATTTTAAATTATAACTTCTTGTCAACAAATTTTATAAAGAAAATTCGAAGGTTTGCAAAACCCACGCTTTTCCTCTTTGAGTATTGTTTTCAAATATTTTAAAAGTAAATAAACATGTGATTATTATAAAAATGTCGCATGTTTTTAACGAAGCAATTTGTTTTTTTTTTTTTGAAAAAGGATTTTCTATTAAAAAATAAAAACCATGAGAAATAAAATGATACAAAACCAATAAGGCCCAGTTTAGCCATGTGGCCCAACACACACTAAAAAGATCTATTTTCGAATCAGTTAAAAGCAGCCCATTAAGGGATAGTAACTAAGTATCCACGAAGAACCCAAATGTTCCGTAACGTCGAACAATGCAGATCGTCCGGCGAAGATTCCACGTAGCCATCTCTCTCGACATCATTTACCTCCGTGGCTCAATCGCAACACGAATTGTGTCCTCAAAGCGTCTTCTTCCACTTCCTCGTCTCCTCCGAGATTCGAAACCTAGAATCTCTAATTCGTTCAACCTTCCCTAAACTGACGAATCTCAAAATTTTGAGGTAGTTGTCGTGATTTTGCTTCATTGGTCCTGTGAGTTTGCTTCATTGGTCAGGTAGTGGTAAGCCATGGTTAAGACTTGAAAATGTCAACTTTCGTCGTCATTGTGGGCACCTTATGATCTGTATAAACACTCTCATTGACACCGTTTTCGAGTTCGACATATTCATCGGTAAACTCTCTATACAAAAGTCTGTTCAATTGCAGTGTCATTTTGCTTATTGTCTGTGTTTGTTCATCAATAGTTGAACTATAAGTTAGGAATCTTCATTCTTTGTGTTTGTGGGGTTGGCTTTTTTACTTTTTTAAGCATATGTGAAGTTTTTACCATTTCTGGGTATGGGTATGGCTTTTGTTTTGGCACTCATAACATTGAGTAAACAAAAAGATAGAAGCTTTATGATTTGCTTCATGGTTAAATACTCCATTGTTGGCCAATTGGTGGAGATTGTAATAGTGGGGAATTGGGCTAGTGGTAGGGCATATTTACTGGTCCTGATAAATTTTGGAACACCATGAGCACACTGATCCAGTGATTGTTTCACCTTTTCTTATGTAGTTTCTTAGGGGATTTATCTTACGAAGGCAAAAGGGTTTCAGAGAATTTGCACGTATGAGTGTTATTGAGTTACTCTAAAAGGATCTCGAATCTTTACCTAGTTTATGCATTGAACAAGCTATGCATAAGACACCCTTGTTGGTTATCATCAGCTATTGTAAAAAATGTAAAATCTGTAACTTACCAGTCACTTTCTGAAAGTTTATTTTTGTGGGATCAAATCGCTTTTTTCTTGCATATTCAGAATCACAATCTCATCTTAAGTTGGGTTTTGTTTGTTTTAACCAGCCATGAGGACTAAACCGAAGATAAGCAGAGTTTCCTTGGTGGTTTTCAACTGGAAACAATTCTGTTAAAGATTGTGTAAACCTTGCCGAAACAGAGTAGTGTTGCTTCAGACAGTTCAAACCAGACTGTAGACGCAATTTAGAAGAGCAAACTTCTTTTCAAGTATTCTACCGGCGGTTGAATATGTTCTTGTGGGAAGAAAAAATAAAAATATAGTTAGCTTATTGATAAGAGGCATGTGTGGTAGCTCAAAAGGAGTCGTTGAGGCACGTGAATAAGCAAAGAGAAGCAGAGAAGGCACGTGAAACATAGTTAAAAACAGAGCAAGAAGAAATAGATTGTGTAACCGCTTGAGAGTCCCAATGAGTTGTATATAAATAGATAGGAGAGTATTGAAGAAGTTATGCATGTATTGATGTGCGTGTAACAAACGTATGGTTTGTTAGAGGAGAACAAATCTCCATTGTTAGGGTTCTTGAGTTTGTATCTTGGATTGAGAAGTGATAGAGAGAATAGTTCATAGCTACAATTCTTATCAATTATTCACACATAGTTCAGGTTAAAGTTTTTTTTTTTTGTTTATTATTGATTCTATGAGTAATTTTGTGCAGATACTACTCCTTATTTTGGTTCTCAAAAGTCTTTAGAGATGATTTATCTCTATATGGAAGATTTTGCCTTATAATTCTCCAATGTCATGTGTATGATGTCTTCTTACTCTGTCTCGGACTAACCAGAAAGCATACTTGTGTGATTACATAAACACAGTTACATAGATCAAACCAAACACAAACACTCAAAATAAGATGCAAGACTACTAACATCAAAGAAGACAGTGTTGTGGTTGAGAATAAATGACGTGATTGCTCTGGTCCTAACCAAAGCAATTGGTGGCTCCAGCAATCTCATAACCAAGCGGCTTCTATCTCCATACAAAGACTAGCATTGGTAGCTTGATGTCAATGTCTGTTAGATCATCAATCACTGCTGCTCCTGTTCCATTTAAAGGAGGCAACATCATCATGTCCATTATAAACAGTTTCTTGAGAATCATCATCTCCATCTCTTCTTTCCTTCTCCGTGATAAACATGTGTTTGTTTGTAACAGAGAGGTATAATAATAATAAATAGATCGTCCCGGTCCCACATGATCTTACAAACTTACCGTTTAGATTAGATAATCACCGTCCGATCTCAATAAACGGTCTAGATCTCTCAAACGTTCTCAGAGGTCCATTTAAAAAAAAAAAATTCTCAACACTATAAGAAAAGGAAACAACAGTCGAAGAAAAAAAAGGAAACAATCGAAAGTTTCCTTTTTTTTTTTTTATTCGAAGAACGTTTTGCCTATAAATACTCAAGTGAAGGTTAATCAATCTCCAACATCATCAGAGAAAAAAAAAATCATCTTTTTCTTTATGCAATTCTCATACAGAGAGGTCCGCCGATGATCCATGCAGACTTTGAAGTACGCCTATCATCTCTGCAAAATAAGAGAGAAAGAGCCGATACATAAACCGAAGAAGCCAAAAAACTCTTTGGAAACCATGGACTGATGAGAAACCTCCATCGTTTCGAAGAAGGAGGCATATATAGTCCAACAATCTCGTATCCTCTTCATCTTCGAATTCTTCTTCTAGGTATAACAGCTTCTTCTCTCTTTATGATGGTACTTGTTCTGTGGTTGATTTATAATTAGGGTTCGGAATTTGTAGTTATGGGTATGCAAATATAGAGAAGCAAAGACAGAGATTGCAAGTAGTAGTGTACAAGTTACAGAACTGAGATTCTCTTTTTGGTGCTACCACCATCATCGTTGGTGATATAGATTCCTAAGGTTTCTTCTCTGTTCTTTATCCTTGGTTTATTTGTTTATTGTTTTTTTGCTTTTCTTATATCATGCTTCTTAGACCAATAGGCAATATTTTGATGGGATGAGTTAAAGATTGTGAATTTGGATATGGTAGTAGTCACTTGCTGATTGATATATGTGCAATCTTTTTTAATATGTTGTAGTACCTGAAAGAAGCTGGATGGGCTCAAGGAGGCAGAGTTTTTTCTAGTACCAGCCAAGACGTTTAGCTCTCCCGGTTTGTTTTTCGTCCATATCACATGCTGCACGTACGAGGTATTGCTTTCTTAATTTCTTATCTTCTCTTTTTCTCTTAAGAAATATTTTGATTTTAGTATTTTATTTATTGATTTTGTTCACACAAAAAAAGTTTTCAATTTTTATTTTCAGATTTAAAAAGTTTTTTTAAATCATGTTTTATATATAATTTTAAACGTTTTTTCAAATCTCTTTTTGTTTTAAACTATGTTTTTAAGTGTTAAATTTTTAACTTTTGTGTAAACTAGTTGGACACAACATCCAAACCCCTAAGAGGTGTTCTAGGTTCAATATGGTTTATACATAATTAAATTTTTAACACTTGTTTTTTTTTAATGTTTTGTTTTTTTGTTTGTTTTTTTTATAAGTGTTAAATTTTTTAATTTTGTGTAAACTAATTGGATACAACATCCAAACCCCTAAGAGGTGTTCTAGGTTCAATTTGGTTTACACATAATTAAATTTTTAACACTTGCTTTTTTTTAATGTTTTGTTTTTTTTGTTTGTTTTTTTTATAAGTGTTAAATTTTTTAATTTTGTGTAAACTAATTGGATACAACATCCAAACCCCTAAGAGGTGTTCTAGGTTCAATTTGGTTTACACATAATTAAATTTTTAACACTTGCTTTTTTTTAATGTTTTGTTTTTTTTGTTTGTTTTTTTTATAAGTGTTAAATTTTTTAATTTTGTGTAAACTAATTGGATACAACATCCAAACCCCTAAGAGGTGTTCTAGGTTCAATTTGGTTTACACATAATTAAAATTTTAACAATTGTTTTTTTTAATGTTTTGTTTTTTTTCTTTTTTTTGATAAGTGTTAAATTTTTCAATTTTGTGTAAACTAATTGGATACAACATCCAAACCCCTAAGAGGTGTTCTAGGTTCAATATAGTTTTTACATAATTAAAATTTTTAACACTTGTTTTTTTTTAAATGTTTTTTTTTTCTTTTTTTTTGATGAGTGTTAAATTTTTTAAATTTGTGTAAACTAATTGGATACAACATCCAAACCCCTAAGAGGTGTTCTAGGTTCAATATGGTTTACACATAATTATATTTTTAACATTTGTTTATTTTTATTAAAAAATGTTTTTAAATTTATATTTCAAATAAAATGTTAATGATTTTTATTTTCAAATTATATTTTGGCTAAAAAAAATTTCTTTTTGATAAGTGTTAAATTTTTAAATTTTGTGTAAACTAATTGGACACAACACCCAAAGATGTTCTAGGTTCAATATGGTTTACAAAAAAATAAAATTTTTAACACTTGCTTTTTATTAAGAAATGTTTTAAAATTTACATTTTTATTTTACTATTAAAACTTTAAGGATTTTTATTTTTTAAATAATCTTTTGGATAAATAGTTTTTTTTTATTATTTTTAATAAATGTTAAAAATTTTAAATTTTGTGTAAACTATTGGGACACAACATCCAAACCCCTAAAAGATGTTCTAGATTCAATATGGTTTACACATAATTAAATTTTTTAATACTTGTTTTTCTATTAAAAAATGTTTTTAAATTTACATTTTTATATTACTATTAAAACTTTAAATACGTTAGAAACAAATCGGACTTAGCATTCCGTTTTTTGATCCATATATTTTTTTTTTTGCCATAAGTTCAACATGTTTTCATGTATATTAAATTTATCATTTGGCTAAGTTTTAAGATATCTCACAATTATTGTTTTAAGGATTCGAATTCTGCATTGACACTTCTTGGTCACTTATTTGTATCAAAGTATCTGATGATATCAAGATATCATCAACCTGCTTACCAAAAAAAAAAAAGATATCATCAACCTTAATAATATTCTGTATTTACCCAGTCACTGCATTATCATTTCTTAGTTTAGTCGTTGTTGCACATCTTTCGTTACTAGGCCACATTAGCAAAAGGGCACGCTAACGCGCTCGATAGAACACTCTAAATGGGCTCATATTTGAAAGTAAATAAAAGTCCAATGGGCTTTGAAAAAATCATAAAAAACATGTCATAAAAATGCGGTGAGCGTGGATCGAACACGCGACCTTCAGATCTTCAGTCTGACGCTCTCCCAACTGAGCTATCCCCGCTTTTGCTTTGATCTCGTTAATCAATTTATTCAAACCCTAAATTTTGTTATATTACAAATATTGAACCATGATTGTCTTCTAATTTTGTACGGACATCGATTTGAGTTCTTGTGGTTGCTAAAGTTTTTAAGTCTTATCCTTCCAAACAGAAACTGAGAAAGCTTCAATGTCTGTAGTAACAATTAACATGAACACGATCAATCACTTGTCCTCAACCTGTAAAATCCCAAATCTCCAATCACCAATTTGCTTCGATCGCAAACCCTCTTCATATTCTCTCATTCCTCTGTTTCCAAAAACCCTAAATGGCTTCTCTTACTCTTCTTCCGTTAGTCGGAGATCGAGTTTCATCATTCCCAAGAGACGACGATTCTCTGTTTCCATGGAGTGGCAAGACTGCTCGTAAAAATCTCTCATTTATCCTCTTCTCTGCTTCAATTCCACTTTATTTGTTGAAGTTGATATGATTCTGTTTTCAATCTTTGTTGGTTTGGAGGAAATCAGAGTAAAGATGGAAGTAGATGTTCCAGTCTCAGTAGCGTATAATTTCTACTTGGATCGTGAATCTTTTCCTAAATGGATGCCTTTTATTTCTTCTGTCGAGGTAGATTTGTTTTGATCTATCTACTCTCATCAACTTCAAAGTTTCGGTTTTTGAAAGCTTCTTGCTTTAGATTTTAACTTGGTCTGTGTTCTGTTCTTAGGTTTTAAAGGACAAGCCTGATCTATCACGTTGGTCACTCAAATACAATGCTTTTGGTCAAGACATTAAGTATTCTTGGCTTGCTCGTAATCTTCAGGCAAGAATCCATCATTCAGTTTTAGATCAGTGGTCCTCTGTGATAAAAATGTTGACTTTTTATTTGTTTGTTGTGCAGCCTACTCCTAATCAGAAAATCCATTGGAGATCTCTTGAAGGTCTTCCTAATAAGTAAGCAAGAAGAGATCATGAATGTTCAATTTTCTTGTCTATTTGAGTCCTAACATTTATTTGGTATTTAATCGATGCAGAGGCAGCGTTCGATTCTTTCCTAAAGGTCCTTCATCGTGCATCGTAGAAGTAAAGAACACTCCATTTGATTACACATCATCTAGATCCTATACTAGTAGAATAGTTCTCTAATGCTTTTCCTTTTTCTTGCATTTTGTTTCATCTTTTAGCTAACTGTATCATATGAAGTCCCTGCGCTATTGACCCCGGTGGCATCGGTGAATAACCTGTTACCTTGAAATCTCTATGCGACACGGAATGTTACAGACTGTTTCTCTTATACTTTTATTTCCCCCAATTTAGGTGCTCCGACCTTTTTTAGAAAGCTTGCTTAGAGGTGGACTTGAAAGATTTGCAGCCTTGGCCAAAACTACTTAAAAAGGTCAGCTTATATGTTCAAAATCTTGGTGAACAATACCTTAAACTCTACTAAAACCGTTTCATTATCTGAAAATATCAACACTTTGCATTTGCAGGAATATGCATGCATCTTTCTCTTGGTATATACATGATTTGGGAACTCTACCAGATCTCATAGTTAGGAGATCTCTATTGTGACTTTTGTATGATTAAAGTGACAAATATTTCTTTCTATCATAACAGAAGTTTTGGTTTAGGTCACCAAGAAAAAAGAGAAACTCAATAAACCAACCAGAAATCTTGGGTTTGATTTGCGTGAAACCAAAAAAAGAACAAAACAAACCAAACAAGAAACAAAGTCACGGCAAAGAGAGCTTTTCTCTTTCCAATGTTTAGCTTATTTGTCTAAACACGACAACACACTTTGCGTGGAGTGTAATAACACATTCAAGAGAATTGGTCCTGAAAAGTCTCTGTTCCTAACTTGTCTCTTTGGAAAAACAAGATTACACCTCTTAAATCTATGAATACTCATCTGATCAACTCTAAATCTCTTTCTCTCAAGAGCAAAAGAGATGACATCAATAGCTTCTGGTACAGTTCCAACAACCAGATCCACCGTTTGTTTCGGAAAAATCCCAAAGTCTGCAACTTTTTTATCTATGCTTCATCGAGCTTCTTCTTCTTCTTCTTCTTCTCCAAGAATGTTATTATTGTTGTCTTCTTCTTCCTCATCAGCTAAGTCTGCAAAAATACTAAACTCTAACAATGGTTCCTCAATTTCTTCTTCTCCTAAACCCTTCAGACCCGTTATGCAATGGCAAGACGTCACGTAAGTTCCTCCAGACAACAAAGCTATACATGTTTTTATTTATAATCATTAAGTTTCATACTTTTTCAAAGAGATTCTTTGGTTTGGATTAAGCAGAGTAAAGATGGTGGTGGATGCACCAGCTTCCGTGGCTTACAAGTTATACGCAGATCGTGAAATGTTCCCCAAGTGGATGCCATTTTTGTCATCTGTTGAGGTATTTTTGTTACTTTAACTCTAAAAAACAGAGTCATTGTTGCTCACAAATCTTTTGCTTCCTCATAGGCAAAGGAGGGTAGCCCAGACCTATCGCGTTATTTGGTAAAACTCGAGTCTTTTGGACAAAATATTGAATATCATTTTCTCGCAAAAAATTTACAGGTAAAGTTTTATTAAATCAATTAACCAATCAGATTCTTCTTTCTTGATTAGAGATTTAACATTTCAATGAATCTTTGTATCCTCTCAACAGCCAATTCCAGATCGAAAGATACATTGGAGATCTATCGAAGGCTTTGAAAATAGGTAAACTCAAGAAATTTGGTTTAGAAAACAGAACAATAGTTTCAATTTCTCTGTGGAAGTGATTGCTTGATCCTTGATTCAACTTCAATATATTTCTGTATTTATAAAAACAGAGGCAGTGTTCGATTTTTCCCAAGAGGACCTTCCTCGTGCTTAGTAGAGGTTAGTTAGTTATCTTGTACTATTCACTTATATGATAAAAGTTTAAATTGTTTTAAGTTTCATTTATTCACTATCTTTTTTTTTTCCAGATTAGTTTTTCATATGAAGTTCCAAATGCTTTTGCTCCAGTTGCATTTGTAAGCCTATTTTACATATTGTGTATCACGACTTATTCGCAAATTAAACTTGTCAATGTATGTATTTATGTTTAAACAAAATTTCAGGCAATGAAACCGTTTATGGAGAAGCTTATTCGTGGAGGATTGCAACGTTTTGCTACTTTCGTGAAGACCATTTAAGGCAAAAATCAAGAATCATTACCAGAAAACTTACTTCTTTTGCTATAAATGATTTTTTATGTAATTTATTTTTGGATATGGAACGTCCAAACATGAAATGTTGTTCATACTTCCTCCGTTTCAAAATATAAGTAGTTTTGGAGAAACTTTTTTGTTTCACAATATAAGTCGTTTTCAAGTTTCTATGCAAAATATATATTAATTTAATATTTTATGATTATTTCTATTATGCAGTCTCTTTTATGATTGACTGAACTTTTTAAAAGTAGATCTTCTTAATCGACGTGTTTTTAGCTAAAATACCTTATATTTTGAAACAAAGAGAGTATTAATTTACTGAAAAGTAAATAGTTTAAGGTCAATTTTTTCTAGAAGATCATAACGAATTAACGATCGCTACGTGACAAAACTATTATTTGATTAATTTTGGATGGAAAAAATTAATTTAAAACAATTAATATAAGTAAGAAATCTGGTTTTAGGTAAAAAACTGAAATGAAATAAAATATTTTGTAGTTCAGTTTGGTTTGATATGGTTATAGTAAAATCAGTGTTAGATCGTTTTATTTTTGATTTTTTTGGATTTTTAAAATAATAAAACTAATCAATTTATAAACAGTTTTTTTGCTCGAATGAAAGTTCAACTTTTTAAAGTTGGTCTTTTTGATTATATATATATATATGCCGACCCTTAATAATTAGTATAAATTGTTAGTCAACTAATTACAAGATTTAATCATTTGTTTGTTGAAGTGTTAAGTGTTATTATTGCTAGTTGTAACCAAAGTTGCCTGTTTATCAGTTTTGATTCGATTGCTAATGGGCTTGGCCCACGAGTCACGGACAAATTCTTTTTAGTTCCACTCCGTTCTGTTTTGTCTTATCCCGTCCCACAGCTTTTTAGTTATACGGTCTAAGAAAAAACCGTTATAAGATTTAGCTAACGATAATTCTAGAAAGGCCCTTGATAGTGTGAGATAGAGAGTGTCTCAACTCTCAAAGCCATTGAGAAGTGGGAGATACAGTAAATGGGTGGGTAAAATCATGCGGATGTCACAAGTCTCCTTTAATCATTTCGAATTTAGCCGACATCTCCACTCCTTTGTATAATTTTGTAACGGATCTCTTTGTTTTGTCTGCGTATATGTAATCTTTCAAGGAAAAAATGCAAAATAATGTAAGAGCAACTTCTTTTTAAACAAAAAAAAAAAAGCTGCAAACTTTTTTTGAAAACAAAATCTACAAACTTATTAATGATCAATCTAACTAAAAACCGCCAATTCGACCCCTAAAGTTAACATCGTTAAATCGTTTTGATGGATTCTTAAAACACAATCATTTTGATTTGAACAAAAATGCCATTACAAGGGATTTCGATGCCGTTTACAGTATAAAAAATAAAAAAATCAGTGCATCATTTTACAGTACTCTATATAAACATAGGCGATTGAAATATATTTTTCTTCAATTATAGCATTCCACACTTTTTGATTTTGATAAATTCGGAAATTAAAATAAATAAATAAATCGATGATAAGCTTGCAAAAATAAGAATCCAGATTCCAAGACACCAACAAACAAGAACTCAAACTCAATGATAAGCTCACAAAAATCTGAGACCTACATAAATTTTTCAATGCACCATATAAAATATACTTTATAATATGATTTATTTCAATATAATATGAACAAAATCAGGCGCCTAATTAATAAACATTGTATTATGGCCACAACTTTAATTTAGTCGACCCATTTTGTTTCAATTGAACAGTATTTTCATGTATAAACTTCACAAACGAAATTCAAAATTTAAAGTTTTCTACTAAGCTTTGGTTTATATAGAGAAAACAAAATAACACAGCCAATAATATATATGATCGGTCAACCCCAAAGAATTGGAAACACTTCTACGTATTTACCTCTTAAAGATGAAAAATTGTTGGATAAATTAGAAGATGGAGCAATGTATGGACTATGGAGACGTGCACTGGAATTGAAGCAAAGTGTTTATCTACCAAATCCTCTAGATTGGGGCAGAAGTTTGAAGAGCCAATATCTTCTATTCACACTCACAATGTTAAATACACATGTGCATATATGTATGTAACTTCTTTCATAATATCCTATTTTACAAACCCACGATGTTATACATACATGTATATAGAATATATGTATGTATGTATCCTTGTAAAGAAGCATGCAATATCTTCCATCCTCTTAAAGTAGCCATAGACATTTAGAGTCTAATAGGTATTCTTAAGCACTTAACATAGCCTCTTGCCGTATATGGACCAACTAGTTTATACAACCTCCATCTCAGATGGTGACTTTACCTTCCACTTTCAACACACTATTTCACAGATGTGACCATAAAACATACTGTTCCGAAAATATATTATAACATATGTAAATGCTCATTTTGTTAAGAAAAACGATCTTAATATTAGTGTAGTTAAAAGTTTTGAACTACAGAATATTCTTAAGAAAATAGATAGATTCCACTTTTCTTATCTCTCTTGTAGACTATAAATAAATCTCAAATAGATCAGTTATCTCAGAGGATAATATAACAACTATAAGTTTTACAATATCTTTGGATATTAAAGAATTTAAAATTTTATATTTATATTACTATATGTGTAGTAAATTTGATTGGACAAACTATCCTGTCTTCTAATATTTTTTTTGTTTACACAAACATTTTTGTGTGAAAACACTTCTTTTCTTTGATATACACACATACATATATATATATATATATACCTATATTATACACAATTTAATTATGTTATTTATAATGTGTCCGTACTTAGCCTAAGCAATTCTTTTGGCAATAAATATATGCTTTAGTATGTCGCATTATAGCCGCCATTTTTGTGTGGAGGATGAGGTCACAAGCTGCACGTATAATTCATTATACTCTTGTTGACAAAAAATTGCATTTTATTATGCTCTTATATGATATTTTTGGGGTGACTCAACTGAATATCCTAAAAAGGAAAAATTAGGTCAATGAGGTTGGTTGATAAATATTGATTACATAAAATAATTGGTCCATCAAAATACGAAAGTTAATGGGATGAAGAGAAGAAGAATAAGCGTTCTAGTTTTGTTTTCAAAATTATGCGTCTTATATTATTAATAAATCATTAAAATAACTAATTTTGTTTATTTATTATCATGTTGTTTTATAGAATAATATTTTTCACTATGATCATATGATAGTTTGTCAAAAAAAAATTAGTGTTCTTTTTTTTCAACAGTATGCAATATGCAAATTTAAATCTAGATGGTGGTACATCGACCACACTAACATAAATTACTAGACTACAAATAAGTTACAGTAATTATTTTTTTTTACTCTTTTCTGTTGTATGATTTTATTCCACTTTTCCATTAGTTGATTTATCAAACTAAATAATTGTAATCAAAATTACAGATAGTAATTTAATATAAAAATATCATTATAAATATCTTAACGTTTAGGGTTTTTGATATCAATAATCCATTAAT